GCAACAATGGTCACGTCCAATGGACATAAGATTTAAAAGGGGAATGAATATTTTTTTCTTCGATAGCGGAGCGAAAACGCGCAATTCTCGAATGGGGAAACGTGGAAGACTGAAAAATTGAATAGGAGTGAGATGACATTTGCCGACGAATCCGACGACCAGCTACCACCGGGGCAAATGTTTTTTTCACGTAAGCTGTACGATGCACAGATGTTTCATTGTGAATTCCTAACCTAACCTAACCTAACCTGCTTATTCGCACCGACCCAAGAATCACCCACTACGTGAGAACTCGCGTTCGCTCCGCTGTCGAAGAAAATAGTACGTGAACCGCGAGAGAAAACGGGCGTTTGTGGCTTGTATAAAGTTGAGAACCCCTCGGCTTCGCCTGGGAAACGTCAACTTTATACGCGGCGCGGAAACGCCCGTTTTCGCTCTCGGTGCACAATGTACTATTCTATACTTTGTCGAACAGGGAACAATGAAAATTGAAGAGGGAGGAAAAAAGAAATAACAAAAGAAAAACAAAATAATACTAATACGCACAAGCATACAGATATCCCAGTGACTCCTCCAATTGCTCGTCCCCTCCGAGAACAAAATTACGTGGCCAAATGTTTGCGTTGTCCGACGGTCAAACAAAAAAATGAACATAACCTTCTTTAGGGAAGTAAGGTTTTTGTGATTTTTTTTTTTTTTTTTCTTAATAATTTTCAGACTGATATCGAATTCCGTATGTCACTTTTGAAAGTAAAAATGGCGACGGCAATTACTATGGCGGCAACGACGACGGCGATGACGATGAATGCGACGGCAATGCGAACGAGAAGTAACAGGACACGAAAGGACGACGAAATATTCTTACGAGTTTATTTAATGACACTAGACGGAAATAATGAAATATGAAAATGACAGCTTGCATGACGATGACGATGACACATGGCGCGGCAGGTTGTCGTGCGTTGCACTGGCCACAGAAAACCGTGAATCTATCGTTCTTTCATTTATTTTTTTTTCTTCGTACGTTATCTTGAAAATCAAGAGATTGAATCGAGCCTCACGTTAAGTCCTATACAACCAGGATGACAATCGATTCGATCATCTTACTTGATGCAGAGCTCATTTTTTTATAGAAAAAGACTCCCTATTACAATTCGATCACTTGGAATAGCATAAGCCTAAAATTAATAAGATTGGTACCATCTTACGACACTTTGTGTAGTATACGTATGTATGTATGTATGTATGTATAGTATATATATACATATATATATATATATATATATATATATATATATATATTTTAAATATTAATAATTATAAATTAGAATTATTATTTATCATTATCAATGTATAAGTATTATTATTATTATTATTATTATTATTAGTTAATTATTAATAATGGTTTTATTTTTTCATTTCTTTAAATGCATACACAGTTTTTAAACACCTATCATCGACGGAAGGTGGAGAGAAACAAAGATGAAGATAAGGGCGGGGGGGGGGAATGGGCAAAAGGAGAGAGAAAATATTTTGGAAAAAGTTTTCAATGGTCGTACGAAAGGTACAAGAAAGATCGAGAAAGTAAGATGAAAAGCAAAAGGAAATCATTAAAAATTGGGAAGGAAGGATTAATGCAACGTGTTTACGAGATATACAATTTTCGTAGGAAACTGGATTGTGACGCGTTACCTAAACTTTTTCAAAAATCCCCTCCCCCCCCCCAAAAAAAAGAAAAAAGTAAAAGTAATCATTTTGAGTCCCACTTCGCAAGAGAAAGATCCGTCTATGTATCCTTTCAAGAATTCCAAGAGCAAGCTCAGTTTCTCAGCCAAATCTCTGATCTAGTCACACTCACCTCTCGTATCAACAAAATAAGTTTAAATAACAATTTTCATAATCAGATTTCTTTTTTTCTTCCACGTCAAAAATATCGAGCACTGTTTCTTCTTAACGCAACGCGCACTGATCTCGCGCAATACGACTTCCGGTACGGTTGCGCAGCGCTACGTGTCAGATTTTCGTACTAATAGCGAAGGAACGTACGTGATGTTTTTTCTTCTTCTTCTTTTACATTGCATTTCCGAATTTTCTCACTTTCTCTTCCACTTCTCATAACCTCGTTGCGTTCACGTACTCGAGGATTTATTGGCTACAAACTAAACGATTACACGTTTTCACATCAAATATTTCATTCGATTATTAACTCTAAGACCATCGCACACCCTTCGGACGCTCAACGTAAAATGTGATTATTTATAACGAAGAAAAAAAAAAGAGAAAAAAAAACAATTTCACACTCTCTCGTCCCACCATAATAAATCTCACTTCCATTTCCGTCACCATTGCTTTTCTCGTACCTCCGTTTCACTTTTTCTCTCTCTCTTTCTCTTGTCAAAAAAAAAAAGAAAAGAAAACCACGAGATCTTGCAAAATTCGAATATCAAGAAACGAACTGGCTCTTGATGACGACGATGGGTGTTT